GCATTGAGATTGTCTCGCATTTCATGATTGTAGTGTGACATAATATAGAGTCTGTATGTACATATGTATACCCTCTGTTGTCTAATTCGATTTGCATTTCGATTTCTAAGACCTTTGCCCATTTATTTGCCATCAAAGACGGTCGAGGTCGTTGCATTTGAACGAGGTTCCATCCAGGCCAGAAGTGGGTTCAATAACATTGCAAACATTGTTTACACACGTGCTCCCCACTCTGTTTCCAGTTCAACTAAATTCGTACATTATATCGCATGTATATACTACATATGCTTAAGGGAATGGTTGCGATATATGTATTTGAATTGTTGGGTGGAAATTCGCCTGAAAATCTATGCCAAAAACTAATAAATGTGTGCGTGTGTGTGTGAGTGTGTGTGAGTGGCATCAAATTGCCTTTGGCAGATCGCCAAGCACGCAGCGCGTTGGATAAATAAATTTATGAGCCGCACATTAATCAATGCCAATGGGATGTGAAAAGGAAGCCCATTGCATTGGGTTTCACAAGACTGGCCAATTTTCTTCTTGCTGTGTGTGGAAATGATGTATTTGAGTTTTGAAAACACTTTTCATCGATTCACTAAACGACTGCAAATATGCAAGTGAAAGTGTTGTATGCAAAGCGAATGCATATCGATCAATTAATCACACGAATCAAATCTATCGAACAGCAGCTGAGCAATGCAATAACATAATTAAATATTAAAAAAAAAAAACTATTAGAGCCATAACAATTGCAATAAAAATACCTTTTTCCCGCTTCATGTACATACATATATGTATATGTATGTAACGAAGTATTTGTGATAATAATGCCAAATGCTTTCGCGTCTGCCACAAATTAACGTCAATTTTGTTGCAAAAATAAATTTTAAAAAAGACAAAAAACAATGAAGACAGCAACAATAACGAAAACAAAGTAAAAATCAAATACAGAGCATTCACTAAAACTAGTCAAAGAGAAGCGTCTATGAGGCACTGAATGCCCTAACATTGAGCATAGCTAGATTAGCATAAAGCAGGAATATAAATATATAATATATGTATGTATAGAAAACAGAGATTTTCATTAAAATCTGATAGTTTGGAAATTCGACTATTATAGCTCTCTTTAACTAACATAAGGGGACACCGAGCTTACCTTTTCTCAAATGCAGGAACGAATCTTGGTTCTTAATAAATGTCGCGATGTATTGCGACAGTGAATCTAAGAATATTTGTGTTATATTCTATATATAAATTATTATAACTGCAACAAAGAAATAAATCTAAAATAATAAATCATTTTATTTATGTGTATGACTTCACTATATGTATATTCACTGTAAACACTCAAGGTCTGAAAAAATAAACCCTGGTAATACGTGAAACTGACGGGCTCTTCCTGACGCTTTTAAATGAAGGATTTACGACAATCCTTAACGTGAAACCTTCTCCTAGAGGGACATAGCAATACAATTCTTCTCCAATTGCATGCTCTGGGACCCAAGGCAATTGATTTAAGTTATTATGAAAGAGCTTGAAATAAAAGACTTCACCCTTCGGAGCAACAATCAATAGGGAGAAATATATATTCTAACTGATAAAAGTTGTGCAGTAGTTTATTGTTTATCGTCGTAGGGTATTGAATAGAAAATTGTAATCAATTTAACTAATTCTATTTGTAGCTGTTGAGATTAAGTTAGAGTTAGAGTTATAATGAGACAGTTGAGCTTAAGAATCACTGGTGTTGTTTTCATTGGGTTGACCTTGCTTGTGTAGAGATAAAAAGGTTTTGATTTTCTGATTCGTGGGAGTATTGTAGTTTGATATTGGAAGATCTTACGTGAAACTCTTTCTTCTACTTTATACATACATATATCTGACATCTACATATTGTGTTGATTTCAAAAGAAACTATACAAATTAGTTTGTGTTTCTTTCTCTCTCTCTCTCTTATTTAGTTAGTGTGTTTGGTTTTCGGTGCTCGGCGCTTAGTTTAGAAAGCTGTAAGAGGCATTGGATGTGCACTAATTTACACACACATACACAGAGACACGAGCGCACACATACACACATAGGCGGGCAGACAATCGCACATCCACACACGACATCCGCACAACGGGACGTATGAGCGACGTCAATTGAATTGACGGCTTAACAACAATTATGCAACATAGCGACAGGGCGTCTATGCCCGACCGTCTGACTGGGGAACGTCGACGACGCGTCGGGCAGCCTCATTAAATGTTTAGAGTGAAATGTAAGCTAAGCTAATTTTTACACTAATGCTGCACTGGCACTGTATCGCATTGTATAAGCGGCAGGGGCTAAATTGTTTAGCTGTTTCCCATTGCATTAACAGTATGGCACAATACAGTTAGCAGACATTATTCAACCAAACGATGCTAAGTGATTCTTGTGGCCAAGGCGGAAATGCAAATGACACGACAATGCTGCTGCCGCTAGAATCGTCAGCTCGAATCTGGAATTGCATTTAGTCATTGGTAAACTAACTGAAAGAGCCACAGAAAAATGACAAATGGCCATCAAACCGTTGAGCAATTATTATTACTATAGAAGGCTGTAAGCCTAGCCAGATGAATCACTGGCGGGCAACAAAAGGAAGCAAGTGAATCAAATACCGCAAACACACATCCAGATCTGAGCTAAGCACACGCATTATGTAATTATTCAGTAAGCAAATTGGAACGCTTTGATTGCAATTGCTCTTCTAGCATGAATCGTGGCTGAGTCGCGTCTTGAATAGCTCATGCATCTGCATTGCATATTCATAATATAGTTTACAACATTATTTACACAACTCAGCCCTGAATTCCAGCTGAAATGATTAGCATATATAAGCATAAATCTAATTTCGATGTGCTGCATTGGCAATCGCGTTTGAATTCGATTTTGGAGGCGTGAAATGTGAGAAATGTATACAAATACCCAAAACCAAAGGCCAGCGCTGTAAAGCTATTGTGACCCGCGTCCATTGTCTTCCGGCCATAACAATAAAGCTGGTACTGCGCGGCTGTTGCAATTGATAAGCTGCAACGGCGACAGAGACAGCGACAACCTCTTCAAGGCGAATTTCCCATAATGAATAGCATCAATTTTCGTAGACATCTGTTGCGATCGAATGACTCGCAGCTAGCTCGTCATCATCCCGGCGGTCACAGTCATAGTCATAATGCTTATCATCCAGCGAACTTCATGATGAGCAACGAGCGTGCCTGACTTGCCTGACTGCCTAACTGCCTGACTGCCGCCAGTGACATTGTCTTAAGGCAACTGTGCAGCTCGTGTAAAGATACAGATACAGATACAGATACAGCTATAGGTAGGCACGCAATATTATGGCATCAGCAACTACAACAATGACACGCTAAGGAAAGCCAGCTTTGGGATACTCTCTCTATCTCTCTCTCTCTCTCTGGTAAACTCTGTATACAGTGTATGCTATACACCCTCCTCTAGCAGTAAGCCTAAGCCTTATTTGTATTCTAAGTGATTTCGCTTAAATTTATATTTATTTCGCATCGAGGTCAGAGTTATTTTTTATTCATATTTCCATTTCCAGCAAACAGGCGCCCATTAAATATATAATCTTGCCAGCGTCATATTATATTTTTCATACAGAACGTGTCGATTATGAAGATTACTAAACTGATATTTCGTTGATCGTGTGTCAGCATATCAAAATATTGCAGGCAACAAGACGTCAAGACTTCTCTACATTGACACGTTTATGCAGCTGCATATAAAACAATTTTGTGGAATACTAGATATACATAGATATGGATATATATATCTACATTTCATATTCTGGCGCAAGCCTATATGCATCATAAATATATACCTTGGGCCGAGTATAACTCGAACTCGTAATGAGCTGCTTGCGCGTATCCGTTTTCAAATCCAGCCCGAACTGGAATTAAGGATCTCAACGTTTCTTTCCTCTTTATATCTAAACAGATCAGAATTCGAACTCTCAAGCAAGCCACTTTAAATAAGCCATTTTCAATTCCTTCCCAAGACTAGCTTAGGTATACTAGATATAGATATATGTATATACTTAATATATATATACTTAATCTGTATACAAGATTTCAGCGATCCGACTAGAATTCACAGCAATTTAGTGGAGTACTGGATATATTATAGATACATATATAATATTCTTTCGACTATCTAAATGTTTTATAAATCTGATTCCAATATTTCAGCAGTTTATCTTTACATCTTGAGCAATTAATCCGACCAGGATGCAAATTTAGTGTACTAGATATAGACATGGATGTAGATATAGATATATTTGCTGATTATATATACTAAATACATATAGGGTTTAGTCAGTAAGATGTGTCTGCATCCCAAATATTTTGAGCTCTTTATCAGAATTCATTTCCAACTCCAGCCCGAAACTAGCCAAAGTTACATCTATATTTAGCTGTTGTATAATTGCTGTACGATTTTAATTATTGAACAATAGAAAATAGATGTACATTTATTCACACATGTCCGTCTGTCCGCCTGTCTCCCTGTATGTAGATGTGCTTTGTCGGTGCTGTGGCACGTGCTTTTGTTGCCGCTGACACAATTTATGGAGCTAAGCAATTTCCATGCCTATTGCCTGGCCATTGTGCGGTTGGTTGTCGGCTCTTGGCTGTTGTCTTTTTTCTCTGTTCATTTCATTTATTAACTCGGCTTTTGTTGTTTTTGCAGTTGCTTTGAATATGCGCCGTGAGCCGCGCAAATTGCTGCAGTTGTTGCACTTATTATGCGGCATTTGGGTCACGGGGTTGTATGGATATCGGCTTTATATGTATGTGAGATCATTCGCCAGCCTTGCTGCAGACGGAGCTAAAAGCCTTAGACAGCCGTCAAGGCAAGGTCAAGAGGGCACGTTCTCCAATTCCAACACCAATACCTTGGTATAGCAATAGCAATACCAATATTAACACCAATTCCCATTCCAACCATCAACTCAAGTCCAAGGCTCAACTTCAACTCCAGCCGCAAGACCATCTTAGGCCGCAGTCAAGTTCAAAGTCGCGTCGAGTCGAGACCGAGACAAGGAAGTGAACAATGCGATAAACGGACGAGTAATAAGCAAACACAATTGGTAAATCGACACCGAAAACTCTGTTGTTTCTGTCAATAATTATGAATTTGTTTTCCATTTTGCTTTGGCTCATTTTTTGTTAAGTACACATTCGGCCATCTGAGGCCCCCAACAACCTCCAGCAACGCCAAATGCCACTTGATCGGCAACCTACAACCCTACAATTGTTGTTTTGTTTTCATGTTGTTAACTTGTTTGCTTTTGAGAGTCTGTGAAGCACTCGACATGCAAGCAACACACTGAGACCTCTTTTTTCAAGTCCTTTAAATATGCCAAACTCTTAGTGATTGGAGTATATCTAATACTCTTCGTAAGTAGAAATTATATTCGATATTTTGTATCTCTCCTTCGATATTATCTTGCCTTTCTTACCTTACACCTTACCTTTCTTACCTTATGTACACAACCTCCTACATCACTCCCTTCTCACATTAGCTCCTTTTCACTCTCTCCGCCCTCAAACTCACAGAACTTATCAGCCTGATGTCGCCTTTCTTGCTATTTTCATTGTCTTACCCTTTCCTATATTTTTATTTCAATTTCTTTAATCTTCTCTATATCGATTCTCTCTCTCGTTCACTCCACTTTCTGCCGTCGGTATACTTGTGCCAGCTCATCTGACATCTGTCGCCTTCCATGCCTTTATAGCATTTTGATTCCTATTCCTTTCATCTTCTCTATATCGATTCCGGCTCTCGCTCTACTTTCTGGAAACCCTCTACATACTCGTGCCATCTCTCGCCTTTCTATGCGATTTTCAAAGCCTTACCTTTATTCCAGTTTCCTTAGGTTCTGAAGCCGTTCGTTTTTTTGTACATCACGTGCTGCTCTTATCTCATTCTATAGTTTTTCTCATCTTCTTGGCACTTTATGAACTCTTCTTCTAACTATCGCCTTTCAATGCGGTTTTCATTGACTTGCCTTCACGCAATATCTTTAAGTTTACAATTCTTTTGGTTCCTCTTTTGTGTATCGATTCTTTCTTTCCTAGACCATTCTCTACTGTCTATTAGCCCTATTCCTGCCTCTTTCGCACATCGATTTCTGCTCTTGTTCCCTCACTTTCTTCTTCGCACTCTCAGAGCTCCTCCGCTAACTATTGCCCTTCTCCAGTATTTTCGTAATCATCAGGCCTAAATATTCTAGATATACATTTTTCACAACTTCATTATTGATTCGTTTTCATTAACCTTTATGAATGAATCATTTATAAGCCTTCATTAGCAGTTTAGAGGAATCCGCTGAAAGCTGGCTTATTTGGCGGTCATCGCTGAGATTGCCTTTGCAGGGGAGCAGCTCGGAGGTCAGCCGTGTAACCAGGTGATTCAATTAAATGCGTTATATGCATTATAGCGTCAATCAAGTTTTTTCCCCATCTCTTTTTCTCTCTCTCTCGCATTTTTCTACGCGTTCGACTTTCAAAATTGCGCAGCGTGAAAAACATTGAATGAAAAGGCGATGAGGAAATGTTGCTGCTGTTGCTACGCTTCTCAATCCCAACAGAATCTGTTTCCCTAGCCAGCACTGTGCCTTAAATGTTTTGATTCCACTTACCTCCGAGTCAAGTCACAAACTGGTTTATCGACTTTTCGTTTGTTCTACACACATACACACACGCACACCCTGAAAGAGTGCAGGTACTGAACGACAACATGGGAAATTAACTTGGCTTGATGATCGACAAACCAAGTTAAGTGAACTCAAGTTGAATTAAGCGATGAACGAAAACCGCATTTTGTTTAGACTTGTGTAAAAATAAACAAACTTATATAATCGGATATTATATTATCATATGAATTCTTATATAATATTATATATTTTACTAAACTTGATTTAACATGTGTAAGATTTTTCTACACGAATAACTGGAATGCCATTCAATGTTCTTGCTTGATAATATCACTTTTTCATCTAGCGAGCGACTACTGTATTCAGTTTGGCAACAGTCTGCGTCTTTTGCAGCAGCGATGACTCAGCCGAGAATTCTGAGCTGATTAGATAAAAGCCATTGGCACATGTCAGCTGATAGATATACCGACTGATATAGACTATAGTCAATTATTAGGTTAGATAGCAGCGTTAACTGATACGAAACGTTGTTTCGCTGCGCCTTTTGTTCATGATATGGCATCTGAATGGGAATCGGAATCTGAATTCGAATCTGCATCCAAATCTGAATCTGATTCGGCATCTGAAGCCCAATCAGAGCATGACTGACTGCAAGACTTGATGATTTACCATAATGTATTTAGTGTAATTTAACAGTGTAATTTAGAACTGCTATTGCTAACTGTAAAGCCAGTTAAACGGGCCGCGAAAACTGCACTTTTAATTACGCCCAACAACAGTCAGACGACCGAATCATAAGGCACAGAGTAAAATGCCTAACTATTTCATTTGTTGTTGTCAAAACAGCTAACAACGACTTCTAAGACAACTAAAGTCAATTTACAAACATGCCAAGAAAAACAACAACAAGAACAGGGAAACGTGAAGCAAACGAAAACAGTCATAGCTCTTTACGTAAAGCAATTAAAATGCTCCAAGTTAGTAAGAGAATAGGCAAATATAAGGTATATAATATTGTAAAGTTTCTTGGATTCATTATCAAATTTTCAAGTAATATTTATACTTTTTAGTATAAATCAACCCAGTCTTACAGTAACAGTAACTGCTATTCGCAAGATATATATTATTAAGAGTTATTTACTCTACGAGTATGAGTAAATATACACATAGCTATAATTTGGAATATAAAAGGACTAATTTTGCATTGCATTCGCATTCTTGAGACGTTTTCTCTCCCAGCTATGACCCAAATCGAAGAGCCGGAACACTTGACCTCATTCGGCCGGTAAATTGAATATTTAAGGGCTTGGCTTAGCTTGGTATTGCCTGGTATTGACAATACACTTGGACATCAATTTCGGTTAAGAGCAAATTCACTCTGCTCATCCGGTTGCCAAAGCAGCAAGGATTAATGCACATAATTTGGGGCAAGGAGCTGCAGAGTCTTGAGGCAATAATTCAGCTGCCCAGGCAGAAGTTTGTTTTGTTGTTTCGTTGCCAAGTGCGTTTCCAATTGCGTCGCTTGCGATTGCCAGCTGCCACAACAACAGCAGCAGCAACGGCAACAATAACAAGAACTACTTAAAGTGAACACCAACAACAACAACAGCAACAACCATAAAGCAACGGGTTTTAATGCTTTGGGTGCTTTGGTCATGCTCGACTAAGTAGGCGCGCGCATTTAACGGTGTTTTATTATTTTAGCGCTATTGTTGTCGTTGTTGTACCTGCAGCCGATGCACTCAGAGCAATATACATACATATACATACATGAATATACATATACCTAATTGTATTTCTTTTTAAACTATTACGAACATGTGTGAAATTACCTGCAATTTCAATTGCACAAAGCGACGCGCATAATTGCCAAGTTCTCTAATTGCTGCGGATTTTATTGTTAGTTGTCGTCCTTCGTGGCAGCCAGAAAACAAACAACAAATGATAAGAAACAACAACAAAAAAAAGTAAAACAAAAAGAATTAAAGATGTGAACGAGAAAACTCACACGCACATGTGTTCATATCTAACTGTGGGAGTATGAGCGAAACAGGAGCAGGACTTGCCGTCTCTTTGTTGTTTGACTTTTGCACAAGCGTGCTTTATTGATTTTTAGCACAGGTTCACAATCCACACACACACACACAAAAGCACGAGCGAAAAGGCACAGGAAGGAACACACCCTGCTGCTGCTGCAGCAACGGCATGTGTATCTGTCTCCCTAGGACACAAAGTGTAAATAGCAGCAGCGTGCGCTAATTAGGCTGAACACTGGCACAACAGCTCAATTCAAAAGTCAGCTCAGACCGACAAGTGTATTAGGGCGGACCTTTGGCGGCACAACAATTGGTGCCATCAATTTTAGCTAAGACATAGACAATAGCGCATGATATTAACTCACTTTTGTTTACTGCATTTTCTCTTTATTAGTTAACTGATGAACAATTTACAAATATTCGCGCGCGTCGAATTGCACGCAAAACAACAAAAAAATAGTCACACACTTTAAACGCGCGCAACGGTCGCGATCCGCGGTACGTCCGATTCGGTTGGTATTGTGTTTTCTTCTGTAGCTAACGGCGGGTGGCTAATCGTTATCGTTACACGCTTGGTCCAATTGAAAGTTATCGATACATCGTTTACAACACTCGATAGGTATGTATATAGACATCGTTGAAATTATCCATCACTAACGGCTTCTACTTTTTTATCGAGTTATAAATGCATTTACTAGCAGGAAGAAAGTGATTAATATGTATTAAATGGTAATTTACCGTGTACATTTTGCAAAGTGCAAGAGTGCTCTTAAAATACATACGTAAACGTTGTAGTTATTGTTGTGTTGTGCAGAAACTCACCTGAAACGAATATATTTCGTGTCGATGGGGGGGTGAATCGCCACCCAAAAAGATAGAAAATACGCATTGTTATGCTGTTCGTTGTTGTTGTTGGTAGTCTTGCTGTTGTCGCTGCTATTACTGGCGGGCAGGTTAAATGTTCTTGGTGGGGAGCTGTACGGCTATTGTCGTTCACACCAAACCTTGCAAATATATTGATTTTTAACAATACTCTATGCCAATACCACGCACACACTGAATTAATATACATACACATACATATATACATTTGCATATACATTTATATACACATATACAAATGTATTTGTATGTGTGCATGGCGCTTTTTGATGTCATCTAATTCGCAATCACTGCGCTGCCCCATAAGATAAGTAGACGTTGACAGATGGTCGCACTGCATTCGGAGTGGGGGTGGGGAGCGCAATGAAATCCAAAAACAAAACAACCGGCGGCTGCAGCGTCCTATTTGAAGTCCGACGGCCGTACAGTATATATTTTCTATAGTCAACATCGGTCAGGCTAGAAACCATTAGCTGCAAGTCGAGTTATTTAAGAAGTAGTAGTCGAGCTCAGCAAAGCCTAATGGAAACGAAATCATGAATCATAATGTTGAGTAAATGCAAATTTGTGAATAATGAAACGTCATTATTTTTATTGCACAAAATATACATACATATGTACATTTGTATGTATGTATGTGTATGTACCTAAATCAATAGGAGAAAAGGTAGAATTATTGCTCAGCTTTTATTTTTGTATTTTTAACATTAATTACAGTCTGATTCTCTGTAGCGAACGCACACTGTAGTTTGAGTCACATTACATTCACACGCTGTCTAGCACGGCATTTGTTTCGGATGTGGCAGCATCCTGGCGAACTTTTTATTCTGTTCCTATTTTAGTTTTAAAGGCCAAGTTTACGTGCGCAAATCCATAAAAAAAATATAAAATAAAGGAAACGCTCACACAGTGGGAGTGAAAATTACGTTTACACGTGTGCCATGTCTCGACAAACCGAAGAGAGCAGCCCATTTGTGCATTGATTTTTGTGCCAGCAGCTAATAAGAAAAACATTAATATTAGCAATAATAAGTAATAAGAATAACAAGAACAGCTGCCAAAGCTGGTGTCGCTGCATTCAGAATGATTCAGAGATAACTCAGAGCATTAGATCATCGAAAGACAGCGAGGTGTGCACAGATAATTGGCCTCGTTTATGCTAATCACGGCCTCTGTTCTCTCTTCCAGGCAACTGACTCCGAGCATAGCATGTCAGCGGCAGTCGAAATTTCCACTGGCTGCTGAAAGGTAGACTTAAGACTCGCGCCACTCAGCGTCGTGGTCAAGTGCAGCTAACTATCGGTATGAACTCCTGCAGCGACAGTAGCAACGAGTCGATGGAGCGGAATGTGAATCACGTGGCGTCGGGCGCCCACTCGGAGCTGCACATGAACTTTGGCGCTGCGTGCAAGCCAGCTTCGCAGGAGCGCTACGTCTGGGAGATGCGCACACGTAGCCCAAATGTGACGCCAGCCAGCACTGTGTTGAACTCGCCGGATCTGAATGCTGAACTGCAGTATGCGCCGATGCATCATCACCAGGCATTCGAGAGGGTTTCGCCGCCCAATCAGCTGCCGGGCTACCTGGGCTCTCAGCAACAACTACAGCAACAACAACAACAGCAGCCATCGGGGTACTATTACCAGCGTCCGCATCCGCACCAGATACGCCTGGGTCGCAGCCCAGGCAGCAGCCAGTTTGAGGCGGAGGTGAGGCTAAGCCCATAACTTTTCCCAGCTCCCCATTTATCTGTTTTCTTTATTTGTATACCTTTAGGGCATAGCGAGTCCCGGCTCGCCAACTGACGTGGGGAAGGCCGATGGGCAGTGCTTGCGCGATGGCGAAATTGTTGTGTTTGACGACATCGACACAAACTGGATGAATAAGTCGGCGGCACTGACAGCCGCAGAAAGGGACAGCAACGAGGATGTTCTGAAGGTCACCAAGATGATTGGGCAGCTGCCCATAGCCGAATATGAGGGCTCCCCGCGTCGTTTTGGCAACCAGCAAGTGCCTGCCAAGGGCGCTGGCTGTCCGCGGCGACCGCCTGGCTTTCCGCAACGTGTCTCACCCACTAAGCAACGCGTGGATAACAACGTTAAGACATCCGTTGGCAATCTAATTGATCTGATAGACCACGAGGGCACGTCCGCAACGGCCGCCTCGAAGACGCCCACTTTTGATTATCTGTACGAGTTCTCGGAGACTCGCAAAGTGCTCGAGGAGTTCTTCAAGGGCAATCCCGACGACGACGAGAAGCGGTTCACGGATTACACAACAGAAAGTGGAGACGATGTGGCCAGTTCGGTAAGACTCCAGAGATTGTCAGACGGAGAAATCTTTGCTCAATTCTTCCCATCCAATACAGGACATACAGCCGCGCGTGAGCGATGTGGATAAACATATCGAGCAAGCCTACATTGGCCAGCGTTTAGCTAGAATACCCAAAGACGAACTCTACATGGTCCATCGTTCGCCCAGGATGCAGGTTAGTGGGTCAAAGAGTCATAGGTAGCACATATATGCTGACGTGAAATGTTATACATACTTGTATAAATAATCTGTATTGCTTGGTTTTGTATGCTGCGGCACTGCTATTTCCATGACCTCAACTGTATTTAATACTGCATCACACAAAACATAAACCAAATGAAAATGCGCTTTTCATTTCGCGTTAACTTTCGATTAAAATCGATTTGTTGTTATCGACTTTACCGAAATGCATTGAGCAACGACAATTCAACGATAGTAGGTGATGAAAACAAATAACAGTAAACTTAAAAGATATCGATATCTGATTGATTTAAATAATTTGAAAACTTGTTTAGGTAGCTTTGCTTGGTAGAGATGAGAAATAGAACCGCTAGACCTTAAAAGGGATAACTTTATAATGAAATAATCAAAACATCGGTTCCATGACAACACCTTAATAGATTTACAACTACCTATTAGACTAACGATTATGTGTAAAACATAAATATGAAATGCAGTTAAAATAATGCTCAATGAACTTCATAAATTTCAAGAATACTTCGTTCTTAATTCGTTTCAAAAGTCAACTTTATTAACACCAAGTATGTCACCCTCTTCTACGTTTATGACCAGAGCTGTATATATGTATATCGTATTCTTACATTGAAAACTTCCTAATTGATTTCGATTCACAGTCGAGCGAGCACAATGCCTACCAGGAGCACAACGACATCGAGCTGTACATCGATTCGAACAGTCGCAGCAGCGGCGACCTGGCCGACACTGAGCTGGAGGCGAATCTGCGGCGGCATTCGCGTAATTTTACGCTGTCGCCGGAGACGACCGACTACGATTCGAACTGTGGCGATCTGGACAGCCTATCGAACGATATCAACTGCGCCACAACCGACTATGGCAAGCTCTACACCAGCATGCCGGTGCTGGAGGATGGTCTCAGCAGTGGCCATGCTTCGGACACCGAGAACAATGTCTCTGTCGTCTGCGACAAGGCGCCGCAGCAGCCTCACACCCAGCTGCAGCCACATCAACAACAACAGCAGCAGCAGCTGCTGCAGCATCCGCAAATCCATCCCGAGCACGAGCGCAATGGCAACGGCGACGGCGAGCGACTGCCGATCGAACTCAACAGCATCGCACCGATCGAGATAGCAGCAGCAGCAGCAGCAGCAGATAACACGCAGTCGATTGAGTATGCAGCAGCGCTGTCGGCGCAAACGCCGCTGCCCACGTCGCCAACGGCCACGCCGCCGGAGCAATATGAAGAGGAGCCGCAGCTGAACGATGACAATAATGCTGATAGCGACAATCCCGCAGACTCACATTACGGTCCAGTTTATGCAGCAGCTCTGGCATCAACAGCAGCCGCGACTGCAAATGCGACTCTGACTGTGACAACCGGCAATAAGCCAGCAGCAATCGCACCGCCAGTGGAGATTCAAGAGGCCATGAAAGAGATTCGTTCGGCTCTGCAGCGAGCCAAGGCGCAGCCGGACAAACTGAAGTTCTGCGATGAGGTGCTGCCCGCGGATCCGGATTCGCCGGTGTGGGTGCCACGCAAGGGCGCAACGACGACAGCAACAGCTGGACGCCACGAAGATGAGGAAGCCGACACAGATCTCGAGACGGATCGGCTGCTAGGCGAGAAGGACTTCTTTGCCGAACAGGTGAGCGATATAGGCAAACTCCCATTAACAGACATGATCAAAATGCCCTTCTGTTCCTGTAGACATTGGCGCTGGCTGGAGCCGCCGACAGCAATGCCAACGGCGTGATCAATACCAACAGCAGCAGCCTGAATATCAGCGACAACAACAGCAATCCCAAGCCGCAAACGTACTCGTCGGCCACCATACGGCAGGGCATTGGCACCTCGCTGACGCCCAACTCCCCGGACATTTGCCAGATTGTGGGCAATGCGGATGTTTCGATCAGCTCGCCGGAGAAACTGCAGTACACAAAGAGCCCAACGGGATCCATCAAATCGCTGAAGGACTCGGCCAACTGCGACAAGAAGCCCCATTCTCGAAATAAGGAAGGTGTGTATATGCGAGCGTGTGTGTGCTTGTGCGAATATGTTCATTCGACTGGGCGTTGATAATGAAAACGCCCCATAAAATTAAAGCCGAACAATGATTTTGTTCTCTCTTTTCTTCTGAATCAATTTTGACTTTCACGT